AAAGTACCCTGCATCAATCGTCTATCCGGTCTCGCATGGTTTTTCCAGCCGCCTGTTCTTTCGCGCTCTCGACGTCTTGTGAATCTCGTCCCGCGTCTTTTTTTAAAATTTTTTCAACGATAGATGCGGGCGTGTGCGGACGCTCCGACGCTAACGTGCTGGGTACCAGCCATGCCGTCACGCTGTGAAACAAAAGCACATTTTTGCGCGGCGGGAGGTACTTTGTCAGCTAAAGCACTCGCTGCTGAAAGCAGCGGCCTTGGGAAAACTATATTGTGTCCCTGCCAGCCAGTCCGTACGTCTATACAGATAGGGAGCTTCGTAAACTGAAACATAAGGACCGCCGCAGGTCCATCAGCATTCCTGTATTCCTGTTCTTGTTTAAAACATACGCTACTACAAAAATCCCTTTTCAACTCAAAGAGTGCTGTTTCGAAGTACTGATTACCTAGATTTCTCTTGGTGGGCTTCCTTTCGAGAGGAACCCCGGAACGTGAAAGATCTGTCTCGAAAGAAAGTTGGTGAAGATAAGTGAGCTAAAGCAAAGAAGGCAATGTCTGCACGCTGAACCCGCACAGCGCGCTTGTTTGTCTCAGGTGCAGTCGTTGCACAAAGCACTTCAAAAACGTTCTGACCCTGGCTCGCGGTGTCCTGCATCGATGCGCTCAGGTTCTTTTTATCTGTGGGTTTAGCTTGTACCTCGCCTGCGGCCCTTGCAAGCACGCTCCGCTGGACTGTTTTTTGTCGTAGGCTGGGCACTTACATTTTGCATAAATTTTTGGAGGCCAGTTGGCGACGAAGCAGAGAGGCATGGTTTCGGTTTCGATAGAACAGCCGTCTCCGCTCGCGCGACGAAGCACGTGCAGCTGCAAGCTTGCCGAAGTTGCCCTCACGTGCATATGAACATGATTGCATGACAGAGGCACCAGTCAGGACGGTATTGCAATTCACTGTTTTACGTTTATTTTTGACGAAAATCTGCCACGTCTGGAATCAGTAAAACGGTGGCAAGCAGTTTTTCGGAATTGCTTGGCAATGCTTACAGCACTCTACACTTGTGGAATGTCTCAATGTCTCTTCGAAGACATTGAAAGTGGACCTTCATTACTAGCCTAAGCCAAAGCGAAGCTTGCAGCAGCCTTGCAGAAAGTTTCGTAAAGCAAAAAGTACCCGCCAGTCGTAATGCACCTTTTTCTTGTGTACAATTTCGCATGGCACTGACGTATTTATGTGTTTAATCAGTCGGAGACTGCTTCCATTTATTTTATTATATAACTAGTCAACCTAATGCTGTGATACTTACTACTATGCTGGTCATTTTTAAATAAATTTTAATATGTGAAGTTTGGTTCTTATCCATCTATAGTGGGTACATATGTATGTATCATTTAACTGAAGCATTGCAAATTGTGCCATGTCATTGACATTGCAGTTACATCTTGAAAGACTCCCAGGTGGTCGAACTTGACCATAATTCGTTTATTTCGGCAAGCAAAGTGCCTTTCGTTTGTCCAGCACTTAAAACAAATATTTTTTTTTTTTTTTATTTTTCTAAGAATATCTGCTCCGAAAGCCACTTCTGCTGCACCAAAACACTGTTTCGGCTGCTCAAAAAGTCACTTCTGCTGCTCCAAAACACTGTTTGGCTGCTCCGAAAGGTGCTCCAAAACGGCTTAGGCCAATCACATCACTGTAAAATTTAAAAACGAGACGTTTTGAATACGGGATGCACACTTTCATGCAAAGCTGACGTCAAGTGACTCAAATAAACATGCATATTTACAATGTTATTATTATCTTTTCTGGTGAAGCTCAGCAACCATTGCATATGTCTTTGTGCACAAAACTGTGACTTGCAGAGAAAGCAAGAACACAGCATTATTGCCTTTATTTTAACAATGTACACACAGATGCAGACTTGCGCTAATGATGCCTCAGTACCGAAACTCTCGTAGCGTGATTCGTGACTGCATCACGCTCGCTTCTACCCAACCTCGTTGTCATGCCACTTCTGCAAGGGGTCGCTAAAATGGCCAGTAAACACGCAAAAACGACACCGATACAATTATCTTGCAGAATATCATCTTATTTAGTAATAACTATGTCAATATACATTACACATTGCATTTAAGTTAAGAAAAAAGAAACATAAAACCTTTTTTTGCCAGAAAAACAAAGTATCAACGTTAAGTCTGGTAACAATGTATTTTTGCCGAATCTTTAGAAAAGTTCGGCTTTGCCAAATCCCAAGATTCAGCGCCGAACTTTCGATTCGGCAAAAGTTCGGCCCATCACTACTGTTAACATAATCGGCGTGTTTAGTGGTTTTATTTATTGCTCTATCAAAAATAAATATTATAATATACTGTTCATTCTTGGTACCGTGTTATTTGCAACGTTCCGGCCCCTCTCTCCGAAACTGCCCGTTTGAAGCTCTCGTCACGAACGGCTGGCTAACGCGGTTAAAAAGCTTCGAGCATTTCTTTATTTGTTCTGTAAATACGTGAAAGCAAGTATGCGTATTCTGTCTTTTGAAGGTGCTTGTAATGGCCTTAAACGCGAACCCATTCCTGATGTGTATTGCTCGACATACCGTTACGCGACGTGTTTTCTCCTACTTAGGGCCAAGAATAGACTTTTTATAGACCGTACGCTAGAGCTCTACATTATTAGCGGGAGCGTTTGCTGTTTAGTTGAGGACAGATTGAGCTGGCGGCCATGCACAAACTAGAAATCCGCAGAGTATGCGATATACGAAAAGTCCCTAATGAAGTTAGACATCCGCGGTCCTTCGTACAACGCTGTTGCAAGGCGGACCACAGTAATTCCTATTTTAAAGCGCTCACTTTTTTTGTTAAAACGACTTCACGCATCAAAGCCGACAGTCCCTGCCACCGTTTCCGTGCCGCTGCCGTCCCCGCTCCTCTGGTTCTCTGTTCGTCCGCAAGAGGGCGAGGGGCGGGCTGGAGTTGCAAATAGTTTAATTATGATAGCAATTTATTAGATGGACATAACTAAGGGCTAGTGTGAAGTAGACTTCTCTTATTGACATAAAAACCCACCCGAAAATTGGAACGTTTCTTCTCAGTCTGAAAAACAACAACTTTTATTTCCTGGCATGTCTGATGAGGCTGGGCTTCACGGACCCCTAGAATGCCTTCGCGGACCCCAAAGGGTCCACAGACCCCCATTTGAGAACCACTGCTCTAGACCAAAGTCATCACTTAACAGCATAAGGGGATGTCCAAATCGTAAGGTTGTGCAGTATATATAGCACTCTCACGATGATATGCCGCAGCCTAATAAATGTTAGAGTGCGCATGACTGACAAAGTACAGAGTTGTAAAATGAGGCCCCAAAACAAGTGCACGTCAATCTGAATATAACTTTAGCCTCCCGAGACAGTATTCTGTGAAGTTTCGAGCCCGTGCAATCCAATGTCTAAATGTGATTTAAATTTTTAATATATTGTCTGTTCTTTGCGCTATTTATGTATAATTAGGAGCATCATCTCTATTAGAGAAATACGGACCATAACCAACCAAGTCCTGAGCAGTTAGGAGTCCGACGTTTCGAAACCGATTCGGCTTTTTCATCAGGGGCGACTCTGCACGTGGAGAGCAGCAGCTTTTTTTTTTTTTTTCACCTACGATGTGTCGTTTGCTTCACTCACTTTTTCTTCAAGTGCCCTAGTCCGTTGACATACGCCGATGGTTAAGTGCCTCTCGACCTATTGAGCCCGACCTATTGAAACGTCGGGTTCAATAGGTCGAGTACTGTCAGTACTGTGATGCAAAGTTGTACCAATCACCGGTACTTTAGGCAACCTCTCTGACTGATAATCTTTAGAGTCAGCTAAAATATATGCGACTGAGGTAAAAAAAATAGATGTTGAGTCATATATGTTAATCTAGGTTCTTTTACTGTTTCATAGAAATTAAATAACGCAATTTATATTTGGTACGTGAAAATAAAAGTCAATTCTGTGAATGAAAAAAGCTATAGAGTTACACGTTTCACTATTGAAAGTGCCTATTGTCAAAGGAACGCAAAAAATATATTCTATATTTAGCAGTTCAAATTGGTTTGAACCGTTATTTTTGCTCCCCGGAACTGAGCCGGACCTAAACCCTGAACCGGAACCTAACCGATAAAAATTTCGGTTCGACACTGGTCACGGGCAGTGGCTGGCTAGCAGACCACGGGATTCATTTTCGCTTAGCGACCAAAGAAATGTTTGGCTGCTTGGTGTTATTCTTTGTAGTCTATGCTGAAAGAACATGTGCAGATGGATATTAAACGCTACGATGTCCCGCTTTTGATGCTGTTTTATTGGTCACCCCCATTGGCTTATTCTGTCAGCTGCGCTTTGACCTAAAGGGACCATGAAATGACCTTTTTACTTTTGCCGAATAACTTTTACATTCAACCGTCAATGTTCACTGAACGTCGAGCGGGCATCCATTTTCGTTTCGTTTTATTAACTTCTACACGAGAAATCATTGAAATATTGAGTTTTTCTTCCTCTCCAACTCGCCGCAAACAAGCCGTGGCGTAATTTTGACGGTCGTGACGTGCTCCGTCACCGGAACCGGAAGTTCTCTTGGCAGTAGGAGAATGGGAGTGCAGCAAAGAGCGGGCTGTGTGCCGGTAGGTTTTACCACAGGGTTTTACGGCTCTGATGGCGCCAATGCCACCGACACATTTTCTGAATCTGCACCTCTCATCACCGAGAGTCATGGACACATTGCAGCTGAGCGAAATTCAATTAGATATGCTGTGCTACAGCAACAGTACAGTGGCTAAAAGGAGAAGTGTGACGAGCGCCAAGCAGCTCCTATGGGAGACCTTGAAGCCGCCAGGAAGGGATCCGCGTGGGGGCGCTCGCGCTCACTTACACGTCGCCGGACGCCGTCGCTCGCCCCGTCGCCGCAGACGCTTTGATCGCCTTTCGATGCCGAAGTTGAGCTCGGTTTTAAACTATTCAGCCCCCGTGCTGGATGTGTCTACTCATGCTTAGGAAGCAAAGCAGTTGTTTCGTGCCCGGGTGCACGACCGGTTACAAATCGTGCAAGAAGGAACTTTCTCTTTTTGGTGTGCCCAAGGATGAAAGCACGTTCGCTCAATGGCAGCGCGCGAAGAAGTATCTGAAGCTTCGGCATGTTACATAGACATTTCTACTGTGACTCAAGATAACATTTCGAAGTGTGTTTTCCATAATTTCCTTTTGCTTTACGTTGAGTTCGCACGACGGTATTATTGCTTGAATAAAAAGTATGTTTTCATTCACTTTTGTGTTTACCTGACAACTACAGTGTGTCACAAGAGAAAATTTACACGGTACCGCAAAAATAAACCAGGCATCGCCGAACGCTCATTGTCCGCCCAAAAGTAGAGCTAGAGGTCACAACCAGATGCCAAAGTTTCAGCCCGATTCGATAACTTAATAAAAAGTTTTAAGTGATTTTCTGAAAATTTCAATGGGAAAATGGAGCCCATTTTTGCCCGTTTTCGGTTTCTGGTGCCATAGAGCCCCATGTGTTTGAAAACTCCGTCGGCCGCCATTTTCCCATTGAAATTTTCAGAAAATCACTTATAACTTTTGATCAAGTCATCGGATCGGGCTGAAACTTTGGCATCTGGTTGTGACCTCTAGCTCTACTTTTGGGCGGGGAATGAGCGTTCGGCGATGCCTCGTTTATTTATGCGGGGAAAAAGACCGTGTACATTTTTTTTGTGACACCCTGTAGAATAAAAAAGAAACACCATAATTATAATTAACGCAGCCCCAGGTTAAAGTTAAAAAAAAAACAGGGGCAGACGCAACGCCGTTTGAAAATTCATCGGACACTATCACTACAAGGGCATATTTTTTCACGTGCTCACGCTCTACTCATAAGGTAAGGCAAAGAATAGTGGTCAGTGACTCTATTTATTAAACATAGCACTGGGTGGCAAAATATTTGCAAATTTTACGTAGTCGAACACATTTCCCTATGCTCAGAGCCGTCGATATGTGCCCGCGATTCGTGATATTTCACTAATTCCTTTTCTTCAAAATTAGAAAATGATAGTTCCGACATTCAGTTTTATTTAACTACGTAAAAACACTCCATATCTATTATATGATGAGACATACGGAGGCGTAATCAAATAAAAACGCAGCCTTACCAATGCTGCCTCTGCGCGCCGCTAACGTGTATAAGTGCCGCAGCGCCATCTACTTTTTCCCTGGCGAAGTGCCACGCCTCAGCCGGCGCGCTCACCACACTTCTCCTTGTAGCCCAAAGAGGTTAGAAGTACTAGGAGGGAAGCCTAGTCATAAAAAGTTTAAGCGATTTTGTGTCCAGCGTGACCGCAGATCTGTCTGGCGATTGGTGCGCGTGACATGTCACGTGCGAGATGGATGGTTGATTGTAGGAAGATTTCTTGCAGGCTTGCGCGCGCTCCGTCCGGTAGGTTTTATCAGATCGAAGGCTAGGCTGTGGTGTATTCTAGTACACCATAGCTAGACGAAGGCTAGCTACGGTCACGTAATGTGGTGAGAGTAAGGAGGAAAATGCGAAAGAGGCGAGGCGTCAAGGGAGCATGGCTTGTGGAGGCTACGCGGCTGACGTCATGCCCTCTCCTACCCTTCTATTCTCCATGTTGTAGCCACTGTAGCAACAGCATGGGACTGGTCCAGGGTGTAAGATAGGCAGGTGGGGAAACGGCCCATTGAAGCCTACCGTAGCGCCGTGACCGGATTGTGTACTCGTCTGCTTGCGGGTACCCCCTATTTGCGACAGATGGCGCTGCGGCGAAAGGAAAAAAAATTGGAATCGGATTTGCATGGAACTCTATGGGAAAGTGTGCAAAATAAACCGAGAGCACGACAGTCCTTCATTGAAAATCCACGAGAAATCATATCCGTTAGTTTAGTTGGTCACCACCGGTCGCCTACCCGGACTGAGAGTTCCCGGTGCTCCACATAGATGGCGCCACAGAAAAAGAGAAAACCGAGGGGGACACAATCCGGTCGCTCATTAGGCTCTCGTTTCCCCACCTGTCTATCTTACACCCTGGACTGGTCCCATATGCCGGTACGGAGCGCTTCAGGTTGTCAGCACTACAGTCGCTTCTCCGCCCTCACCAGTTCCCATGGTATCTCTAAAAAAGAAGGGGACGCGCTGGACCTCACTGGTGTAGCACAAAATGCACAGTTTTCTATGGGCTCAAGCTTTATTAACTTTTATTTTGTCAGGATAGGCTTGCAGGGTAGGGTGGATGAAAAAAAGACAAGAAAACGATGCAGTACGTTGTCTTGGACGATCACGACTTTAATGATAGTACAAATCTAGCCACACGCCTTTTCTATAATTGCAGAAGACAGTGTAACCTTAGCAGAGATATAGCAACATGGAAATATGATTTCATGATCGCATAGACGTTGCGATCGTTCAAAAAATGCTAACATTAATTACTTTTTTTAGGTGACGAAAACTTGTCAAAATTCACATCCTTCATATATGTCTTTAAATGCAGTATGCACCAGTAATATCCTGGACTGGATCACAAGCATGGAATACGCAAAATAAGAAATCCGGGCGATGTTCGAGGACACAGATGCTAAGGAAGCACCACTGTAGTCGAAGTAAACAAAGACAATGGCACGAGCGTTTCTGCTGTCTTGAAGGTGCCGCCACAACACAACCCCACGAGTAGATGAATCTTCCCTTCTAGGACGTGCTGGGTTATCATCGCGACACACGACCAGAATTCAGTCAAGGATAGCTATGCAAAACGATGGCCTTCCACCACGTCGATTATCACCTCCAACGCCACGTTTTTCAGCAGCTGGGCAACTATGCACTGGCACAGTCTGACATTTCTCTTGCTTCGTTTACCACACGATAGATGGCACATAGCTCCGAGCATTATAATATTTGGCAATTTCCGTCACATCGCTAATTATTCAAGAAAATGTGGATTAGAATAATCTGTCACAAAACTTTTAAGAAAGATTCGCCGGCAATTTATTGTTTATGATCACGGTGCTGGTGAGGTAGGCTCTGATCCAATAGGCGATGTGGATTTGGCTGACGTGCCGTGGCACCACTGATGCATCGCAGTGAAAAGGCAGGGAGCTTTTGTAGGAAAGAAGGTGTAAGAAAGCCCGCCTTTCTTGTAAAACTTCTATAGCGAAAAAGTTTTTTGAGCCCTTCATTTTTGTGTTTTCGTTTCTTTTCACACCTTTTACGACATGCAGTGCATAAAATTCGATTTCAAAATCGTTTCCTGGTCCCAGGCAGCACACATTGCTCATAACTGCACTGGCCTCATCATAGTCTGAATTTCCAGACGATGTCGGCAATATCAGGACCTAAAAGTCACGAAAAAAATTGGCAAAATAGTGGGATGTATCTTGTATCCCAATGGTCTCACTGGATTATCGTGTCTGCCGTGGCTACACTGCACCGCGACACTCGTGCTGCTCGCGCCAACCTTTGGATGGATGGATGCGGTCAAACTCTTTTAATCGGGTGGCGGCTTGCGCCATCTAGCCAAAGCCTTCACTGCCTCTCCCCCAGTGCATGGTGGTGAAAGGCAATGAAGTGGCTGATTTCGGGGACAGACTGGGTTAGAGCAGTAGGGTGGGAAATTATGCTGTCTACTATTCAAGTTGAGCCCCTTCGGTCTTGATTGTAGGTTGACTTCTAATTTTAAAAGGCTCTGCGGAGGAAGAGGAACAAACATGGCGGTCTTGTTTGAATAAATATGGTAGTCAACCTGGTTCCCATGCAGCTGCCTACCTAAAGGCCAGCGAACTTGACTGCACTTTGTTCGGTGGCTCGGGAGCAAAGCACCGGCCTACGGATCTCCAAGTGGCGGGTGTGAATGACTGAGGCATATGGGCACATGGCGGAGAAGGTGCCGTGTCACTGAACTTTCAGTTGCACGTCAAAAGATCCCCAGGTGGTAGAAATTGATCCTCAGCCCTCCACTGGTCCGTGCCAGATGCCCTTCGTTGGTTTGGATTGTAAAAACCCCAAAAATTTGATGCTGACTACACTCTGGTTCCAACGCCACGAACTAGCAGTGTCACGAGTGTAGGTCCCATGGTATTGGGGTGGTTGTTTTTGAAGTTTATGATGTTAAAGGCGCATTTTTATTTATACACATTTTGACAAATTTGCCACTTTTTGCAGGCATAAGAATAGATATTTACAGGCTAAATAAATTATCAAGTGCAAAGGGGGTGGGAGGCTTTATCTCAACTGAAGTGTTGCAATTTGATTAATTTTTCGACCGTTTTATTTCATACCCATTGTATATGGAACCTACCCTCACCAGAGGCTGATTTCTAAAAAGCAGGCTCTCTGTTCCCTTTGGGTCCTATGTATTCTTATTACAAAATGTAATAAGTGATATGCTTCGGTATAAAAGAGGAACCCTCAATCATTATCAAAGATGAACTTGAACAGTGATGCCATCACTTTTTTTATTTTCAAGTGATATGCAAACAGGTGTTGGCACCAAGCATCTGCTCCAAAAGCATCACTAGCTCCTCCGAGCCAATATTCTGCCCACTACAAAACCTGCTATAGAGGATCAAATATGGCTTCTATCACTGTCTTTAATGTGACAGGTTGTGCCCACTGCTTGAGTTAATGTTGTGTATTCAAGTTCTCGCGCCCCGGTCCTCACCGAGGAGTCGCGTATATTGAGGTTCCCCTACGTTGCACCAGATTGAACCACGCGTCCGGAGTGCACCGAACCGGGCGAGTGTCAGGTTTCGTTTTCGAGTGCCTCGCGCGCCTGCGGACTCTGCGCCCCCGCGAGACCGCGCGCGTCCCCACCGAGCGTTGGAGCGACCCTCCACAATGTAATCAATGTAATCCCGGCCAGCCACACGGGCTGGATATATACTCTAATAAAGTTGCGTTCTTACGTATCAAGGACCCAACAACTGGCGACGAGGCAAGTGATCCCCGGACTCGCCTTCCACGTATGTACAGCGTCAGAGCGTACTACGTCCCGTTTTGCGCGTGAAGCCCTGCGCTGCGCTCCGAAACCAGAACTCTTGGGCGTGGCCGCCCTCCATTGTGTTCACCCTCCTTGGACCCGACATGTCTTCCCCGGACGAAGATACCCCGACTGTTGTGATAGCTCCTTCGGCCCCATACCTCGCCCTGGCTGAATTTTCGCCGGATCAGCCAGCCGCTTGGCCCGTGTACCGGGAACGGCTTGAATTTTACTTTCAAGCTCAGAACATCGCAACCGATGACAAGCGGAAAGCCATCCTCTGTAGTGCCTGCGGAGTGGACACCTACACACTCCTTCGCTCCCTGTGTGCCCCCAAGACGCCGATGCAGACACCATACGCTGACATCGTGGCTAAACTGGATACCCACTTCGTCAGCAAGCCCTCTGTCACCTTGGAACGCTTTCGATTCAACAAACGGGATCAGCTCCGAGGAGAGACAGTGCCGGCCTACCTCGCTGCACTTCGGCATCTCGCTCGTCATTGCGAGTTTGAGGACTGGCTTGATCGTCCACTGTGCGACCGAATGGTATGCGGCTTGCGCGACGAGACCCTTCAGCGCCGACTGTTGGCTGAACCAGAGCTCACACTGACCAAGGCTGTTCAGATGGCTCGGGCTGCTGAGGAAGCAGCCGTTAAGACAGAAGAACTTCGTCGCACCAGGTCAGAAGCTCGCCAAGAGCAAAACCGAGTGGCACAGGCGCCACGGAAGCCCCCCAGTGGTAGCGCTTCCACCAACGATCAATCTTCTCATGTCCAGTGCTGGAGATGCACGGGCTCACACGACGCCGTAAACTGTTCCTACGCCAGTGTCGTATGCCACTTCTGCGGCAACAAAGGACACCTGCAGAAGGCCTGCCGTAAAAAAGCGGCAAAAGGACAAAAGAAACCGGGCAAGGCTTCTGAGCGATCACCTGATTCCGAACGGCGGCCCAGAGGTCGTAATCACCAGCTGACAGAAGCAGCCGATCCCCCATATCAGGATGTCTACCACGTGACGCCGTCCGTTTGCCACACGGGTCAACCTGTGGAGGAGGTTCCGGTTCTGCAGTCACTGTCAACAGTCAGCTCCGTCACCCCGCTGTATTCGCAGACGTTGTGATCAACGGACATGCTTTATCCATGGAGGTGGACTCAAGCTCCGCCTGCACCGTGATCAGCTCAGAGACTTTCCGAGTTCTGGACCTCACGACCACTAATCTTCAACCCTCTCCACTTCAGCTACAATCCTACACCCACGAGCGGCTCGACATGATGGGTACACTGCAGGTTGACGTCACTTACAAGACCCGAGAGGCACGCCTTCCTCTTCTGGTGGTGAAAGGAACCGGCACCAGTCTGCTCGGTCGAGACTGGTTTCCTGCGTTGGGAATCGGCCTCAGTGGCGTGAAGCAACTCTCTGAAGAACGAACCCTTCGGCAGCAACCAGTCAGCGTTGTGGTAGCCGAATTTCCTGAAGTCTTCAAGGAGGGACTGGGAAAAAGCAAAGGACTACCTGTTCGCATCGAGGTCGCCCCTGCGGCTACACCCCGGTTCCTCAAAGCGCGCCAGGTACCTGTTGCTCTACGTCCTCGCGTAGAAGCCGCCATCGACATTCTCGTCGAGCAAGGCGTATACCAGCCAGTGCGTAATTCACGCTGGTCAACCCCGGTCGTCCCAGTCGTGAAGAAAAACGGCAAGATTCGCCTGTGTGGCGACTACAAGTGCACCGTCAACCCTGTGCTCCAATGGGAGACATACCCCTTACCTACCACAGAGCAGCTCTTCGCCAACCTCGCAGGTTGCAAGGTGTTCTCGCGCCTTGACCTAGATCAAGCATACCAGCAGCTGACTGTGGACGACGAGACCGCCGACTTGCTAACGGTCAACACGCATCGCGGACTGTTTCGAGTCACCCGCCTTCCATTCGGTGTCGCCACAGCCGTTGCCATCTTTCAGCGATATATGGAGGAACTGCTGGCCGGACTCCCAATGGTGCACGTCTACCTGGACGACATCATCGTCGGAGGCCGAACGGAAGTAGAGCACCACCGCAACCTCCGAGCGGTTTTGAACAGAATCCAGGAAGATGGAGTGCGCTTGAGCAAAGACAAGTGCGCCTTCGGAGTGCCTGAAGTCGTCTTCTTGGGCTATCGCATCGACAGCCAAGGCATTTACCCGACTGAAGAAAAGGTCAAGGCTCTGAAGGAAGCTCCAGCACCCAAGGACAAGCAGCAGCTTCAGTCCTTCCTCGGGTTGTTGAACTTTTACAACCGTTTCCTACGCGGAGCAGCGCACACGCTCGAACCCCTGCATCGTCTCCTCGGCAAAGACTCGCCATGGAGATGGGGACCGGATGAAGACCAGGCGTTTATCAACGCAAAAAAGCTTCTGGAATCGTCAGCGGTGTTGAGACACTACGACGTCCACAAGCCCCTCGTTCTCGCATGTGACGCATCGCCATACGGGCTCGGTTTTGTGCTGAGTCATGAAAATCAGCCTGGCCTGGAAGCTCCAATCGCCTACGGATCCAGGACGATGACTCCGACTGAGCGGAACTACTCCCAAACAGACCGAGAGGCGTTGGCCGTAGTGTCAGGAGTCAAGAAGTTTCACCAGTACCTGTATGGGAGACACTTCAAGATCTACACAGATCACAAACCCTTGGTTGGGCTCCTGCACCACAGCAAACCCATCCCAGCGGTTCTATCGCCACGCCTGCTCCGATGGAATCTGCTCCTGGGACAGTACGACTACGAGCTGGTCTACCGTCCAGGTCGACAGATGGGCAATGCTGACTCCTTCAGTCGGTTGCCTCTGCCGACAAAGGACTTCCAGCCTCCACCCCTGGAGGACGTTCTCCTGCTGGAGGCTGCTCCAGAGAGGCCAGTCGACGCAGAGCGGATTGCTCGACTAACGAAACAGGATCCGAAGCTGTCCCGCGTCCTCCGATGGATCAAGCATGGATGGCCTGACGAGAAGCCATCAGAAGAGTTCCAACCGTACTATGTGCGCCACGACGAACTCTCCGCATACCGCGACTGCATTCTTTGGGGCAGCCGCGTAGTTGTGCCACCTAGCCTCCGCCCCGAGATCCTAAAGATTCTCCACTCTGCACATCCCGGCATGGTGCGCATGAAGGGGCTCGCCAGAGGCTACGTCTGGTGGCCAGGCCTAGACAAGGGAATCGAAGAGCAGGTCCGCACCTGCGCGACTTGCCAAGTAACAAGGGACTCGCCTCCACAAGCTCCAGTGCATCCCTGAGAATGCAGCTCCAGGCCATGGTCCCGACTGCACGTGGACTTTGCGGGCCCCTTCCAGGGAAAGACCTTCTTTTTGGTCGTGGACTCGTATTCTAAGTGGTTAGAAGTACGAATTACGAAGTCCACGTCAGCAGCGACTGTCGTCCGCGAACTAAGAAGGATGTTCGCCACCCACGGACTGCCCGATGTGGTTGTCTCGGACAACGGCCCTGCCTTTGCGTCAGAGGAGTTCCGCACGTTCCTCGCCCGCAACAACATTCGACAAGCATTGGTGTCTCCCTACCATCCATCTTCGAATGGTCAAGCGGAAAGGTTCGTCCAAGACACCAAGAAAGCGCTGAGACGCTTGAGAGGCGCTGACATCGATGTGTGCCTCACACGCTTCCTGTTTGAGCAGCATATCCTGCCAAGCACATCGACAGGAAGAAGCCCGGCAGAGTTGATGATGTCGCGCCAACTCAGGTCGGCTTTGGACGGCGTCCACCCAGACCATCAGCGCTACGTCGAGCAGCGCCAGGAAAAGCACGCACAGAGCAGCAGAACAATTAGAGAATTCTGCCCCGGCGACAGCGTGTTCGCTCGCAGCTTTGCGTTGGGACGTCCACGCTGGGTTCCCGCCGTCGTCTACTCTCGCAGTGGACCGGTATCATATCAGGTGAAGCTGCAAGACGGCACGTCTTGGAAACGGCATGTTGACCACATTCGCCAACGAACGTCGGACATGCCGGACATTCCTGATACGCGTGATCGCGCTCCGGATTCTGGTGGCGCGGACCTTGATCCACAAGAGACTCGTGACGACGCCGTGTCAGCTGCAAGGCGCAGCATGCCGGGAACGTCTAGGACCGAATCTGTGGAAACACCTGCCGAAGCCAGACTGACCCCGGCCGCTGCTCCTGGGTCACCCTCGCCCGCTGCTGCGCGATCCACAGATTCATCTGAGAGCAACAGCACCTCACCGATCGCACTTCGCCGATCAAGTCGGACAACGCGCCATCCCGCCCATTTGAAAGAATTCGTCTAGGGGGGAGGGGTGTTGTGTATTCAAGTTCTCGCGCCCCGGTCCTCACCGAGGAGTCGCGTATATTGAGGTTCCCCTACGTTGCACCAGATGGAACTACGCGTCCGGAGAGCACCGAACCGGCCCGTGTCAGGTTTCGTTTTCGCGTGCCTCGCGCGCCTGCGGACTCTGCGCCCCCGCGAGACCGCGCGCGTCCCCGCCGAGCGTTGGAGCGACCCTCCACAATGTAATCAATGTAATCCCGGCCAGCCACACGGGCTGGATATATACTCTAATAAAGTTGCGTTCTTACTTATCAAGGACCCAACAGTTAAGAATTTAGTGAGGTGAGAGAGAGCAACAGTAAACAACAATAATGATGACACCTGAAGTAGGCCTGGTTGTTACCTACAGGTCTGATGTCAACAGCATTTGCACTGTGTTTCTACTTTTCTTCATCTATGATGTAAAAACTGAACCAAGCGTGTACATTTCTGGCATATACATTGTGTGATGGCACACATTTTTCGGCATACTTCATATATTTTTCCATCCTTTCCAGGTTGCCTGCTGGAATGCACCTAAAGGCTGCAGCTTCATCGGCACTGCAGCCAGCCTCTTGGACCATTACAAGGAGTGCGGCTTCAGCATCGTGCCTTGCTGCCTGTGCCGCTCTTTAGTATTGCAGTGCGACATTTTGGAGCACTTCAAGAGTGGATGCAGCATTCGCGAAGCAATGTGTGAGCCTCCAGACAATCTTGCCACAGAAGACCTCAAGGACGTCGGCAGTGCTTGTCTTGAGATGAAGAGAGCCACGGGAAAGATATCCGAGGACCTCATGTTGCTGCAGACCAGCCTGAACCGGTGCAGCAATGACGTCAGGGCTGAGGGTGCAAGATGCAAGGGCCAATTGGAGGCTGAGGCTCAACAGCTCAACAGCCTTAACGTGGTCTGCACCACCGGTTTTGCCAAAGAACTGCAAGTTCTCCAGCCAGCAATGACCGACTACAAATACGATGTGAGCAAGGAGCTCCGTTTGCTAAGCTGTTGTAAGCCTGTGAGGGTCCACTGGTACATTGCGGGGTGGGCAGACCTAAAGAAGAAAGCACTTGAGGTGGCGTTGCGGTCGTTAAATAGTCTCACCACATGGGCCATTTACGGTTATAGTGTCTCCCTAGTTTTTAAACTTTATATAAAGGAAAGTAACGGCTGGATTGTCTGCTTCATGCGGATACACCTCGGGGAACAGGACCTGCAGCTGGAATGGCCCTTTCGCAAGGTTTACAGGGCTGGTGTCATTCACCCCAAAGACCAATCAAATGAGATTTCACGCATGGTAAATCCTGGTAACGGTGAAGATGAATGCCAGCAATGCTTCCTGAGGCCCAAAGAAAAACCAAATGTTGCATGTGGAGCAGACCTGGCAACAGCCGAGAAGCTTGAAACGGGTGGGTTTATACAAAACAATACACTCCACATGTTCTTAGAGGTAGAGCCCTAATCTCTCCATATTTGCCATACCCTAATTAGGATTAAGCAGGTACTGAGTAGTGAACAGCCCTTAGGCTTGCTTAAATCTGTTTGTTTTTTTGTATTTTATTTTGGTTTTAGTTTTGATTGCAGACTAATCAGCTTTTGGACTTCGTAGCTAATTTAGAATGCAAACAGTCAGGAGCGATATTTTAGTTATGCTTGCGTAAATGTTGTTTCTTTTGATGGGAACTTAATTTTTTATAAATTCAGCTTTTTCTTTATGGTGTTGTCATGCCTATTTTTTGTTTTCAGACACATTTTTATATGAGGTAGCTAAACCTGTCCACACAACGGCACAGACCTTGCTTTTGCGAGATAGTTCTTTGTATTCGTGAGAAAAATCGCATTGGAGAGAAGATAGAAAAAACCATTGTCCCAACTGCACAACGGCGCAAATCTGGAGGCTGGAGAAATAAAGAATGCAGCTTTCTACACAATCAAACTTTTTAAGTTTAATGCACGCATACTTTACTGTCAGAATTAGTAAAAGTAAACTTATATGAGCATATATTTCAAGCGAAATAAAATGCCGAACTTGGCTTCTGGAGCAAACCTTACATAATAAGGCATTTTTCGGCGAATTTTTAAGTCGCTTCAAATTTATATTCTAAAGCTGAAACTTTTTGTGTCAAGTGTTTAATGCTTTGTACATTTTCAGCAAATTAATTAGCGTTTTACTGTTGAAATTGTTTTCTGCATTGCGCCCGAAAATGTCATGCAAATAGAAGAAGTCAAAGTTTTGCGATTTTCGTGCGGCAATTAAAAAAGATCATTCTCGATTTCATTTAAATTCTACCCGATGGGCCCTTGATGACCGGTAATTACAAATCTGCAAAATCATGTTGCATTATTTCGTTTTAAAACAAGGAAATAAATGTGTAACCAGGTCGTGGTCGCATCAATCTCAGCTGGGGTGTTTCTGTCCTAAAGCGCGAAACACATGTACGACGAAACCGTCCGATCCGACGTCCGACCGCGCAATACGACGGTCGGAGGCGAGGGTTTTCAACGCTCTCCGATGCTACGAAAACCCTCGCCCCCCAAGGTCATTCCGGCAGTCCGCACGTCGGATCGGAAGGTTTCGTCGTACACGTGTTTCGCGCTTTAAGGGTTTCGTCGTACATGTGTTTCGCGCTTAACGACTAGTGGTAGACAAGCGACACATGCCGCAGTAACCGTGCTTGGTCACATTAACGCCCAGGCGCCACGAAGCACTCCAAAAATAGCACGTGAACGTTGCGGCGCGTTTGTTCCATGCCAGGGTGTTATACTTGACTGGTTAAATATCCATTGTGCTACCATTTCAGGTTAGCACTTTACCATTAGTACCTGGCTGACAAAATGATTTGATTTGTATTTCTGGGCATCGCTCGAAAGCTTGCTGACAAAATAGTTTTATTCATTTTTCTAGTCATCGCTTGGAACAAGCGACATTGCGAGAGTTTCTGCTTCGACCGATGTGCGGTCGCGTCTAGGGCATCCCGCCCTAGACACGCCCGCACATCTCGAGAAAGACAATGGGGAATGAGTGGAATTCAAGGTTGAGTTAAAGGGATGCTGAACCGAAATCTGGACCCCACAAAACACATGGCAAAAGCGTGCAACGGGATGCTACAAACACCAAAACATCGCTCATACAGCGATATCTCGAACGGATGACCGTATTTTTCAAGAAAAGGAGGCGCATTTAACAGAAATGTTCACGTCATGTTTCTTCGAGAATGAGAGGGAACGGCCTCGCGTCTTCTCCGCCTCGCAGCCTTGAGGGAGCGAAGCGAACAGGGGAGAAAACTAGGTATCTTCACGTCACGCGCCTTGTCGGCCTGGTTCAATCTCGACCTCTTTTTCCCAAAATACGGCCGTCCATTCCAGATATCGCTTTACGAGCAGTGTTGTGGGGATTGTAGCGTCCCGCCGACGTCTCCTACGTTTTTTGTTTTTTTTTGTTTTTTTTTTTCTGAAATACAAATTTCGGTTCACCATCCCTTTAAAGGGGATTTACATAGCGTAAACGGTTCAGCGCCGAAGGCAACAGCCAAGTGTGCGCTCGGGCGATACTCAAGTCGCTCCAACAGGATCTCTTGCCACGCCTCAACCGCAAACAGAAAAGCCATGATCTGTGACTGGGTCAAGGGGTGCAAGAGAGTTATTGATCTGGGGAAATATTTTTATGAAATTTCAAGAGGCTCAAAGAGTGCAAAAAGCTGCAGATGTTTATTTGCAATGAGAACGCTCTTTGTGTGAATTAGCGCGCGTGTCTATGAAGGCACTCTAGTGTGAAGCAGCCAGCGCCGCCACCTAATGCGAAGCCGTCACCACGCGCAGTGGTTCACTATAAACAGAAAATAAAGAAAGAACTGCTGTTCAGTCGACCGGCCTGCACCGCGGTGAGGCGCCAATGAAGAGGACGTAACACAAGTTTTAAAATAACGGGAGTTTAATTAAAACAATGATTTAGATAGAAACAAAAGTAATATAATGGAGTTCAGAAGAATCGAAACGTGGCAATAAAGTCTTAGCACTTCACCCTGCCAGGGTGCGGGCGGAAAATTTTCAGCTACCGTCTGAGCGCAGCCAAAGGCTGAGGGACGGTTCGCAACATCGAGAAGAGCATTCCTACGCACTACAAAATAGTCCGCAAAAGTAATTTTTTTTTTTCAATAACTGTTTTGTGCTAAACATTGCACAATATTCCAGATGTGTACTGCTGAGAATGATTTGCAATTAAAGATCTGAAGTTTATGTTTTATTAATATATGTAAATGCACGTGGTTTGGTGAAACAGGTGCATCCGCTGGCAACATGGCTGCAGTGGCTGCAGCGCTCGGTTTTTTTGTGTGATTTCGTTCCCCTAATGGCCGAATTATGTGCTTCGTTGCTTTCCCCACCGAGTCGCTTCAAAACGTCCTTTCGCAAAAGCACGTTTGGGCGTCAGGCGCGAGAGCAGGTGATGAATGTCTGCTTTCAAATTCGGCAGGAGACTCCGGCCGCGTCGTACCGCGAATGCGCTGTAAACAAGAAAAGCGTCCGGGCCACAATAATTCACTGATAGGCGGCGAAATCAAGCACCCCTTTACCTGCCGATCACATTGAACGCCTAGAAGCTGGTGGAAAGAACTGCGCCTCGAGTCCTGGTATATCCAGACAATACAAGGAAACATCAACGGCCGGGTCATCGGGCACCTGGCAATGTGTGCTTACATCTCGAAACTATGCCGAAATGCCGAACAGGTGGGAAGCTCGGACAGAGACGCCAGCGGCCAGCCTACGTACTGACATTCCTGTGACTAAATTTCAGAACGTGAAAGGGCGCTTTTGAAACCTGTAGCAGGCGATACCGTTGACACACCCGTAGCAGACGAAACCCTCGGCGAGCGCGGGCGGCGCGGACGACCAGCGGCGCAGCAGAGTGATACAAAAGTGCAGGCGAGATCGCGTGACCTATTGCCGGCGTGTGATTGGCTCCGGCCACACGTAGCTTTGGCTGCGCTCAAACGGAAGCTCCTTGCACTGACGTCACATCGCATACTTTTGAACACCATGTAAAAGGAGGAGAGGGAAGCTGCTTTTGTACGAATTCTGAGTGCCAGGTTAATCTTCTCTAATCGGGAAAAGAACAGCGACGGTCTGTGCATATCCGGGAGGCACAAAGGAGCATCCTGGTAAGAGGGGAGTTCCTTCTTCCCCTTTTCTCTGGAGGGCATCGGAAATGACGTCATGTGCAAGCCACCCGAGTACACAGAAGAAATCCTAAAATCCTGAATTACTACCAACTAGATTGCAATACTGAGGAGCTAGCGGATGGAGGGAGTGTAATCTGTCACTGTCCGGGAGTAACGCCCTCTTCCGTTGCATTGTCCGAAGGGGGTGGAACCGGTGGATTCCACGGTGGGCTAGGGGGCAGCTCGATGAGGCCAGCCACACACACACACAAACACACACACTCACTCACTCACTCTTCTTGCGGAGGCCTCCCCAGCACGGACCTGGCCAGTCACCATCGCTTTTCCCGGGCTCGATCCGCTTTTTCGCAGATTAAATATCGGGGCTCCGCAAGTTCAGAGCAGACTTCGTGTTCACACAGGTCGCATTTCCTGCGAGACGAAAAGAAGCGGGTTGAAAGCTCGATATATCAAACCAAGTGCAGGAAGGACTTGGAACCATTTGTCCTGCGGGGTCTTGTTTATAATGAGGGGCATAGAAATTTGGAAACTGATGTACGCCTGGGTCGGTCTCCGAGTAATTCAACGAGAGTAGTCTCTAATGTATCGGCGCGCAACCGGATTTGATGGCATAAGCAATCTACTAAAGCACGTTGAAGGGACTCGAAGGCTTCTTCCACTCAAGAGTCCGCGCTGCGTGTAACGTACAGGGAATTCTCCTGATCAAATTTTTCATATTTCCACGTGTGAAGCGAGTAGATTCCAGGCACCCCCTTGGCGTCCTTCCACTCTAGTTTTTTTTTCGTTCTCTAAATGCCTCAAGCTCGCCATCCGTAGGCTTGGTGTTTTGCAAGCCCCCCTAACCCGTCGCATGCATTCTTGCCGTGCCCTGTTGCCGAAAAGATCCACCTCGTCGTCTGGAGCTCACTGCACTGCAACTAGTGAAGTTGATACCAGTTCTTAAAATGGGCGGCCGCTCGCTAACATAAGTGAAGCGAGAGTAGATTGGTGCAATGTCCTCGAGGTGTGCCTTAATTTTTGACAAGGCCAAGCATCCATTCGCCGAGTCATGAGTTATATCGTCGCAAAGCGCAGCATAGCTCCGCGTCGACTTCCTTGACGTTACAACGCACGTAAAGATGCTGATTTGTTTCTTCTTCAATGGTACGCTTGTACTTCGTCCGCAAGCACCACGGTTCAATTCTCGACAAAGTCAAAATGGAAAACAATAGCACCCCTTTCACAAGACTGCTTCTCATCATGTATTGCCTTTGCTTGCACACGTCGTAGGTAGTTATGAGGGATCCACTTTATCACAGTCTTTTGAAGCTCCTTGATAAACGCTGCGGCCGTCAGCGTCTTCTTAATGAACTCCCCCAATTCCCATGTGGCGAAGACTACGTCCTCATCACATCCAATATCGATTTTTTTTCCCAATGTCGATTTTTCCGCTCTTGGGCTCTGGTCGCACTTGCCGAGGAAGCAAGGGAAAGTAGGCAGCGGACATAAACAGAGAGCCTACATATCTTCCGCAGCAAGTGAATCCCCTATCGTATTTTTCAGCCCCACGAGACATAGCTGGAACCTGGCACAGTAGGTACATACAAAGACACACCTCTCGGTGTGGCAAGAACTTGCCCCAGTGAGATCGCAAAGATATAAACTTTGTGAGGCTAATTGCAAAGCCGGGGTGGGCAAGTTTGTAGACGCTGTATGCTCCGCGCAGGGTCATGAAGCGTAGCCCATTCGGTCTCTCCCTTGATTTTCACACGCACAAAATCTTCCTTATTCGGGCTTTGCCATCCAGCTCGCTCGTTTTGTAGTATGCAAGCACCACATTAACATCCTCTTCACCAACCTTGCATCTACACGCCTCGCCTCTCCGGTTCTCCGTATTTGCTCTACCGTGGGGAGGGGCTGTTGTGCCACAGCAGGATGAATGACTCAGGTATTTGTTTACCATCGCCACACGCCCTGCCGGTCATGTTTACACCGCGCAGGGGACGCCGCAGGTGTCGCGTATCGCTGCCTTGCGTCGGTGAGATACAATCGCCTTTGCGAGCGCGGATGTAACTCGGCCTCAGATTCTGCTTCGGCCTCACTTTTGCAGGGGGGGGGGGGGGGGGGGGGGGGGGGGGTTGCCACATATTTTGTTGGCAAGTCTGCATCAAGAAACACTTGTTTTCCTTTAACGTTTTCAAATATGCTCCGGCTAGGAG